CCTCTAGATAACATGTAAGAGCTGTAAAAGTTTCAATAAAGGCTCCTCCTATCTGCTTTGATTATTCTAAGAAATATGTTGTTCTGCCAGGCTGACAAATTTTAATGAAGGGAGTCTTTTTGGTGTCCATGGAAGCTTAGGGGGTTATGAGGAGACAATATTCAGCTATGCTGCTGAAGTGCTCTTTGGAAGAGAAGTCAAGGGCCCTATTGATTTCAATTCAGTTAAAAATTCAGACTTCCAGGAACTGACTTTGGAAGCAAGTCAAGTTTTTCTTTTAGTTCTGCTCACACATTTGTAGCGTAGCTTTTTTGTAATTGTAACTCAAGCTTCGTCAATTTTGCATCCGTATAGTATTTGTAGTGGTATAGTTGGAAAATCTAGGGGCTAATTCCTTGCATTAGCATTTTCTGTTCATTTTTATGTAGAGTATTGATGGCCTCTCGTTTAGGTGGATGGGAAGACTATTGAAATTTGCACTGTGTTATGGCTTCCGTAACCTGCAAAGCGTTGTCAGGAAAAAAAAAATTGGAAAATGCGATTATCATTTTCTAGAGATCATGGCATGCCCTTCTGGTGGTTGGAAAATTTTCTACTTGCTAACCCTTCAAATAGATGTGTTTTTTTTAATACGTTGACTATCCATTATGTGGATTTGGGATTTTGGAAGTAATACTAACGGGAACTAAACAGGTTGCTTAAATGGTGAAGGACAGATTAAGCCACAGCCTGAACAATCCGGAAAGGAGTTGATTCAGTTATTACAAGCAGCTTATATGGAAAACTTAAGGGTTGGACTTATCGTCAGTTATTTTGTTATTTTATCGTTGGCCTGGGAATAGTGATGTTTTTTTTGGCTTTGAAATGCTAATCCTTTAATATTATACAGGTCTTGGTAGCTGATCCTTTTGGAAATCCTTTGGTGCAAAACTTATGCGACGAGTGGCTCGAGCATCCTGGATAGAGAAAGCTAAGCGACTCTTTCATACAGAGTACCACCCTATCGTGAAATGCCTAACTTCTCAATTGCACAATTGGTAAATGCCACCTTCCGAACGCCAGTTTCCTCAACAATGGCGACCATCCAGTGACGGTTCATTTGAGTACCGTTGCTCGTCATCTTCTGGGAGTCGTCAAATTTTTTATGTAGAGAGCTAATATTTTGTTCACAGTTTTTTCCTAACTAATGTGTATAGGAAACATACCTTAATAGAAAAAAATCAATTGCATGCGGTTGTAAGAAACCATATAATTCTTTTATTTTGTTTTAAGTACAAATATATCTTGCTTTCCATTGTATATCCATTTTTTATCGGCGCTCACTTGGCTTGGTAAATAATTTCTGCAATACTTGTCTTTTTGCACTCACGTTCTCCTTCTCTTTCTGCATACCCTTGTTTGTTTTTTTATTTATTTTGTTTAATTCAAAGGTTTAAATAAACATGAGTATGCAAAAGAGAAAATCAGCGTGTGGAATCACTTTTGTGAGTTTCTTCCCTGATTTTGATATCATGTAATCAATTGTATGTATGAGCGTGACAAATGTTGGATAGTGGCTAAATTAGTGGCCAACTTGGCATCCACTTTCGGCTATTAAACAAAACAAAAGAATGAAAGACAAAATGATGAGGAGGCATCATGATTATGTTTCCTTGCTTTGTGGCTTTTTCAAAGCCATAGTTATTGGTTTTCTTCGGATGGAAAATAAGAGAGAAGTGAGAGCTCATTTTTCTGCAGAGAGCAGGGAGAGTTGCAGAGAGCCCAAAAGGAAGAAGAAGTTGCTGCTTCATTTGGTTAGTAATCATCCACCAAAGTAGTTGTTGTTGTAATAGCTTTGAGTTATATGTATAGAAAAGAAATTATTCATTATATTTCTTTCTCAATTTGTTTCTGTGGTGTGTGAGAGCTATTGGGTGTATTGAGTTATTTGGGTTGTGAGATTGCCAACACTTTGTAAACTCCTAATTGGTTGATAGTGGATTATTGGGTGAACTCATACTGCTCCGAGGACGTACTCCAGTTACACTGACGGTTGAGGAACCTCGTTAAAATCTTGGTGTCTTTTATATTTTTGTTCTTGCATTTCATTTGATAAATTTCCTGTGGGTTAGCTTGAGTTGGTTCCATTTGGTTTGGTGCTATCCTAGCACAACACCAAATACATCAAAATTGAAGCTCAAATAATGTTGATATACGATGCATGAAGAATAATACGCAAATATGCACTACGCAACCGTAGAAGTATAGTTAGCAGTATTCATAATACAGTAAGTCATCTAACAGTAATACTACGGTTGCTAATACTGGAGGAAGTATAAGTTGGTTCACAGATGAAGAGAAGTATCTACATCAGAGCCAGAATTAGGATCCAAGTCTTCAAATTTGTTTGAACAGGTTTTTAACGAGGTGGTGTCTGTAAAAGTTGGCCATAAATTGATCAAAAGCAGCGTCTCAGTCTTCCTAAGCGGACGGTCCACGTGCTTGCTCTGCAATGTCGGCCACAGGGACAGAGAACCTCCGGATGCTGACGTCCCGCGACCATGGACAATATGATCAAAGTGGAAAAACAACTTTGACCTTGCCTGCTGATTTTGCATGGTGGGATTTCTATCCATCGCCGTGAACTGCTTTGGTTCGGAGTCAGTGGAGAGAGCTAGCATTCTCGATGTCTCTTTCTCCTCTCTGATTGCCTTCACTCTCTGCAGCTCTCTAAACCTTTCTTGCAGTAGAGCTATGGAGGAATGAACGACAGTCGTTTCGTGGCTTTCCCTATCCATTTGATCAGAAAAGAGTTAAACTTTAGATTCAGAATTAGGGTTGTGGGAAGTGGCCTCTAAGCTTTTGTGTGCGTGTGTGTGTGTGTGTGTGTGTGTGTGTGTGTATGTATATATAGGATTTGAGGATCGTTACAGGCATGATGCATGTATGTTTTATAAGATTGCGTGCTTCAGTTAAGTAATCTAATGAGTGGATTAAGTTGATGGGGTGAAATTTTAAAGTGATTTGAGTAATTTAGGAATGAGATTCGCAGCCAAGCAGCAAAGTCCAAAAAGAAAAGGAATTTCGTTTGTGTACTTTAACTAGTGTATGTCGGGGGAGAGGCAAAGGATAAAGCAGAAAAGGGTATGGAGAAAATTCCAATGAGAGTGAGACATAGAAACAAGCACATGGAAGGGAGGTGTTTGGAGGAATAATAGGTTGGATGATGGCCTGTCAACTGAAGGACCTTTTTAGGTTTAGCTTTTGAAGATGATGGAACTTTTTTATTGTTTTGGTGGCTCTTTGTTCTTTCTTTACATAATCAAATTCCTTGTACTATATATGTTAGGGAACATTTGGGATTTGAGTCCTTCCTTGTAGATAACTCACAGTTTGATATGTACACATAAATTATTTTTTTTGGTTTTAACAAGTTACATTATATTATGTCAAACTTTAATTTGCGTTGAAGAGAAATCACCATGTTCATATGAAAAACCACACAGTATTTATATATATTTTATTTATACAGAGACAAACGTACCAACATTCTTCTCTCGATATATGTTATGTGTTGGAGTATTTGGAATGGAACGGCATGCAGAAACGAAAGCTGCGGCTGCTAAAAGGAGGTGGACTGGATTGGATTGGATGGTTCTTTTATGCAGCACAAGGGGTCCCCTAGCTGGCTCGCTCTATTGTTTATTTTCAAATTTCGAAGCCCCAAACTCCAAGTCTCCAAAGATCGAAAGATGATGAAAAATAAACATTAATTAATCTAGACAAGGTGTGCAATTAAAGTTTCTATACTCTATACTTATCCATTTGCATTGTGTTTGGGTAAATGCACATGCAAATAAGAAAGGTTGAAAGCAAATGTGTGACTCGGAATAAACTTAAATAAGAACCCAACTGAGGATCATAATTTTTTTCTGTTCAAAAACAAATATACTGATCATAACTAAGGATGTCAATTTGATTCCAGTTTAGAGGGCTGCAATTGTTATTGTTGGTGTAAAGGTTTACTCGATACAAGCCAAGTAGGATGTAAAGAGAATCTCATATTAGAGAAATACAATAATTTAATGTTTAAATATAAGTGGTTCACTCCTAATTGCACCAAATTTTTTTAAGATAAAACTGTACATCTAAAGTTCATTTTGCTTTGATGCCACCCCCACCCAACCTGAGGTAATGGGTCTTCGGCATTTTAGTTATTGAAGAAAATTTGGCAATTGCAAATGAAACAAAAAGTTCAGAAGAAAAAAAAACAAAAAACAGAGGGGATATTATTTTCTTTCTGATGATAGATAGCCTTTGATATATAACTAGATCGAATGATCTCAATTCTCAAGTAGAAACTTCCTTATGCATTTCGGGTTCGAAACTTTTTTTTATTTATAATTTTGTAATAAGTTTTGAATCCTTTTCCTCTTCACTTAATAATAATAACTTTTTTTTAAGTATAGTTGGATCAAATGTGTTCATATACGCCATTACCAAGTGCTATGTGATATTTAAGGCATGCCAAGTGCATATATACGTAGTCACATTAGTCTTGTGATGGACAGGCTAGCTTCACTTCCATTCCATGGGTGATGTTAAATTTGGTATTACACCGAATAATGAACAAAATTTACTGTGCATGAATGCATTGTTAACACACTTGACACCAAGATAATTGTTATATTCTAACCCGTATCAGGCCATGCTAATGGGATTTATTGTGATTATCTTTCATCTTCTTCATCTCTCTTGCTGTGATCCTCCATTGCGGTTCGTCTTGAGTAAGAAAATGGTCTATTGAAACACCCTTCTCTCCCCAATCACACAGGTACGTTGTTCACAAGTTCTTTTTACCTAAAGCTCAGGTTTATTAGAGCTAATGAACCTACATCATATGTATACTATATACTATAGTGTTATAGCCCCAGGTTTATTGAACGTATGACACATGTTGATTAGCAGAGACTTACAACAGATATTGCTTATACCAGCAAGACCGGTTTATTAAACCAATGGACGTACAACGCAGGTTTATTAAAACCAATCAAGCCTCGGATAATATCGTCCCAATGGCATGATTACATCAGAACAAGTATGAGCTCGTTTACTACAGATGAAGGGAAGTATCCACATCACTGACATCAGAGTTACAATCGGAATCTTCGAATTGATTCGAACAACTAGTAGTAGTACTGTCTAACGAATTAGGGTTTTCTGCTGTGACTGAGGGCAATAAGTTGGTCAACAGCGGGGTCTCATTGATGCTCCTAGATATGTAGTAATCCTCCTCAAGCTTACTCATTAATAATGGCCACAAGAACGGACAAACTCTGCCGGATGGTGATGATGACCGATGATCGTCATGTGGAAGGGCAAGATGATGATGATCAGGGTGGTGGTGGTGGAAGAACAACCTTGCCCTTCCCTGCTCGTAATGCATGCTGGTGGGATTGCTATCGACCATCATCAACTGCTTATTATGCTTTGGTTCAGCTAGCATTCTCGATCTATCTCTCTCCTCCCTCATTGCCTTCACTCTCTGCATCTCTCTAAACCTTTTCTGCAATAGAGCAATGGAGGAGGAATGAATGGTGCCTTTGGCATCATGGATTTCTCTCTCCATTATTTTCACTGTTAGAAAGTGTATAGGAGCTAGGCTTCGTGTTCATCTATATATAGGACAGTGACAATATATATGTATCTATAAATCTGCTTCATATCAGTTATAAGTAGTTTTTTATTAATAAGTGAAGTGATGATTGGGGTCGAGTCGTTCGATGAAATTCTGAGTGATTTGGAAAGAAATGAGAATCGGCGGAGAAGCTGCGAAGTCCAAAAGGAAAATGGTCGTGTGACCAAATCTAAGGGAGTTAGTTTGTCTGTGGGTTTATTTTATTAGTGTATGTGGAAAGTGACAGATAGGCATCTGCATTGCTAAAGAAAAGGGGGTTTGGAGAAAAGTCCAAGGGAAAATGTTAAAACTAGCAAATGGAAGGGTGTGTTTGGAGGAATAATTTGCTTTTCCTTTGTTCTTTTGTTCAATGATTCACTCCTGCCCTCTGTTGGGAAGAATGTAGGGGCGGTGTGAACAATAATGCATGACAGAGACAAATACACCGACGTATATAACATTTCTCTCTCTATATATGTATCAAAATATATATGAGGATGTATATATGTTTTGTTTTGGAGTCTTTGGAATGGAATGGCACGCAGAAAAGAGAAAGCTGCGGATACAAGAGGAAGTAGTGGATTATTAATTGGACGCTTCTTTATATTTTGCAGCAGCACAACTGCATAAGAAGAAATTGATCATTAATCAGAGTTGAAATTACTTCGATTCATGACTTCCTCTCACATTATTTGAAATTGATTAAAGCATGGGAAATCATAAATCATAACAAGTCTAATACCGTTTGAAGGGCCAAGTGTTTTTCCCAAGTAAGCAACTTCTCGTGTATCAATAATTTAATTGAAATTTCTAAATTAACTAGTTAGTTGTATGAAGTCGAGAATAATATTAGTGATGTTAATTGTGGATCATGGTGTGTCTAAAAATGTTTATCACCCATCTCTGTTGCTTCTTCACCTTTTCATTTTGTTCACCAAAAATTGAAAAAGAAAAATATATCAAACAATTCCTTTGCCTTGGGCTTTTTATGACGAGGGGGAGAGCAAATGATAGCAGCTCCAATATCAGAAAAGTCCATCATTAATCATAACGTCTTGTTGTTTTTGGTTCCTTGTAGATTAGTGAATTTTAATTTTTGTAATTTTATAGAAATTAGAGAACCGTCTCTAATCTCTATGGTGACATCATCCTGTGGTTGGGACGAATTCCAGACCTGTATTTCACATAGTATGTCCTGAGTTCGATTCATGACGCTAGTAAATCACTTGATGGTGTACAGGGAGAGGCTAAAATTCCTCTGTGAGTCTTCTCGGCTCCCTGAATGTGGAATGCCGTGATGAAGCAACCAACTAGTCCTTTTTTAAAAAACAAAAACAAAAACCTCTATGGTGACTGAAGAAGGTCTAGGTCTCCAGGGGTTAACTCGGGAATTAGAGGTCTAAGGACTCTCTAACCTCTCAGTTACAAGATCAAAGGATGAAAAGGAAGGGTGCTTCGTTTTCAATATTTTAAACCTTGCAAATACTAATAAGCCTCCAAAACCAGAGTATAATTCATCAACAAAAACAACTGCATGTACAAGAGCCTGGCTAGCTCTCAATTTTATTGCAAATTCAAAGGAGACTAGTTTTTTAGTTACACGCAACTGGTTGGTTTTGGACTCTTGGTGGTTCCTACTCACAGAGCTGCCCGGTCTACCACCTACTGGCGACGGTGGTCGTGTTTTTGTTGCCACCGTACAAGCGGAAGAGATTGAAAGCAGAAACACAAGAGAGCAGGACTGTGCTTAGACTGACTAATAAAGCGCTGGCAATTCCCTCCCCAACTTGGTTGCAGAACTTGTCATACATATTGCATATCTTCATCCATTGCAGCTCTGGCTGCCCCAACTTGGCCAACACCGCCGACTGTGTGGCAGCTCCTACTGCTGCCACACACACATATGCCATCACCTACGTACACACACAAAATCTTGACACATTTTTTTACACATTAATTTAGTACCAAATTCTGATTAATTAAGAGGAGGTAAGGATTTTCTGCTGACTCTGACTGTCTATTATAATTGCAAGGTTAATGCACAATCACAAACTAGGTATAGTATAGCACATATATCTTTGTCGGAAATGGCACTAATGAAGGTATCCCAAATCAATCACGAGAGAATATTGTCTTGAAATACCGCCATAAGGGCATCTGGCCATTGAAGAGAAGTTATTCACCTTCCACAAGAGTAGGTATAAATTACTCCAAGTCAATGGCTAACTGAATGCACTTAAAGATGCGAAAACTACCAATAAATAATAATAATCAGTAGTACTAATCAAAAGGAGCTACTTAAATAGATAACACTAGTGACACGTCAGCTTAAGTGAGCTGATGTGTTGTCTTAAGATAGTTTAAGTGGTGTAAATATAGGTTTGCTTTATGTAATGAGCTATATATACTATCCTGAAGGGATAAGGTCTGTAATGTTCATTCTTCACATAAAAAAGAAAATCAGTCTTCCTCTCTTAGCTTTTATCTTCAAGCTTTCTCTGTTACATTCATGGTGGTTTATGGTTTCGATCACTACTTATTTGTATATAAAAAAAGGAACTACGTACTAATTAAGAATTTCATTGATTCAGTTAATCAATTATGTTTACCTGATCCCCAGAGAAAATGATCCAAGCGATGGGCTTGCTGAAGAGCACATTGCCCCTAACCATGCTCACAACACAACGCACCACTTGCACCAAAGAGTAGGCAGAAACTATCCCATTCGCCACCACCAAAAACCTACATTACAAAACGATTTAGGTAAATTAAATCGACTCAAATAGCTACGAAAAGGAAGAAAATTGTCAAATAGGGTGGTGAATTTCGCACTCCACTGCTTAGTTCTGGTGGTCAAGTTGAATAAATCAAAGAAAATCAAAAAACAAAAATAAGAGGTGGGCGGAAATTATTTTCCTCTCCAACATAATATGACCATTTGCGAGAAAGAGAATAGGAGGAAGGTTTGAGATGTACGTACACAAGAGCTTTCATGTCTGTAAATTTAGCTTTCTTCTGGACGGTGAAGATCTCTTTGACCTGAGTATCAGTTCCCACAAGAGCAGCAGCAACAACTCCTAGACCGCAGATCAAGCACCTCAAAACCAACTCTGCCACCCTCAACCTCCGATCATTCACTTTTAAATTGGTGCTGTGATACACCGGAACATTTCCAGGACTCACACCAACAGCTAAGTAGCTCATTCTTCTTCCCCAAAAATTTACACTGCTAACAGCCTAAAGGTGCTTTGGGAAGAATCACTTAAAACAGAGCAAGAAGAAGAAAGACTCAAACCCACATAACACCTCACTCGGACCCAGAAAATATGAACTATCATATCATCACGCGCCCACCTAACATCAACTTCCCACTACAGTGGTGATATATAGGAAGGCTTCTATTTTTTGTATTAATATTATTTATGTGCAACCTTTTTCTTTTATAAATTCCAAATATTTTGTGATTGGGGGTCTTTGCTGCCAGCATGCAAAGCCCGCCAAGTGGGGAAAGGGGCCTGCCAAGTGCCAAGTGGTGAAAGACTAGTAGACCTAGGAATAAAGGGCACCTCACCATCCACTTAATTACGGACATAATGGAGCCTTGGTTTTAGTTGTGTGACGTGTTATTAAATTCACGTGAGAGTGTGGGTATAATAATAAGAACTTTAACGAAAAGTTTTCGGTACTGTTCATTTTAACGAAAAATTACATTTTTATATTAAAAATCAATCATGGTACTATTCACTTTACCTTTTATTTTGTCCTTATTATTAAAACTCAAAGTTTTTAAGCTTTTTTTCATTAATTTTTCTTATAATATATCCCAAAAAACTCGTCTAATTCGTAAGAAAGATTACACAAAGACCTTTAATTGTGTTATTGAGCAATAAACGAGGTGGATTATGGATTAATCTATGTTTCTTTCTTGAAATGTGGCCGGTGATATGGATTTTGTGATGATACTGGAATGGAGAAGGCTTGAGAGTTGGAGAGATCAGGGATGGAGTGGTTGTTGACATGACCTTCTAGGGCTCTGGCAAAAGCCAGCCACACATATATGTCTGAAAGTGACGAAGCACCCCATCTTCTTTTAATGCCACGCTAAGAAGAAGAAGAAGAAGAAGAGGCTAAGATGATCATGTTGTTTCATTGTTCAACGTGTTCAATCGGCTAGCTAGCTTTCACGCATTTAGATGAAAGAAATATTTTATGGTCCTATGGACGCGACTAACTTCACGTGAATTGGCACTAGCTACACATCACTGTGTCAGTTTTAAGAACGTTGCTCTACCTATAAACATGGCTCACAACCCATGTGTCTGGGTCCCCAACTTGATATTAATGAGTTACACTGCTCCGATATCAAGCAACGCAACACGGGAGGGAGGAGAAAAACTTATCTTCAATAGTAATGGCGGAGTCAGAAGCTTAGCCTAGGAGGAGCCAAATTGTCTCAATCTGAAACGCTTTCTTGATCTTACAAAAATTATTTTGCCATGTGGTGAGCAATTGATTGACATCGTTTGGGTCTGGTATGGTGTCGTCCTCATCATCATCTTCCTTAAACCTAAATCCCAAGCCTCCCTGACTTTCTTCACTCCCTCAACTAATCCCCGTACCAAAGTCCTCCACAAAGTTCATGAGCAACAAATTGTTTGAACTTTATAGGAGTCACCAACCTTAAATCAAACCCGATGAAAGAAATTAAAGTAAAAACGTCGGATTAGGGTCCGTCGCATTCAATAGGCAATATCCAAATCTAAAGAGAAACACGTGGGGTTACTGGTAGGAGGGAGAAAGACAAAAGGAGGGATGGAGTGGGGATCTTTATGGAGCAAAAAATAATCAAGAAAATTATGGAGGTGACACGTAGACTTTTGAATGAAAATGACAAAATTACCCTCAAGGCACATCGGGATTCCCACGCGCATGCAATGGTTAATAACAGCTCAATCAAAGAAGAGTCAAAGGTGATAAAAATGGTATTGATTCAAATCCCTCTCATCGCTCCTCATCAAATCCTTATTCAAAATGTAACTCCCAATTTTTCTATTTAATTTAGGATTAATTGCCATGTTAATTGCAAGATATTATTTCACATAATATCTTGCAATTATTCACACAATTTCACTATATATGGCCGGCCACTATTCCCCAAATAGGAATGGTCACTCCCCTATAAATAGCTCTATTCTCCTACTAAAAAACTAAGTCATTTGCTACCCACATTCTTCTTAGAATTCTAACATTGGTAACAGAGATTCTTTGACCAAAGCTCCCCCATTCATCGTGGGAGCGTGATGCTTTTAACCTTAATCTTATGTGTTATTATTTTACAGATAAATTTTTACCAAAGGAGAAGACAGCGAAAATTTGCATCCACAATCTTTACGTGGTTTGACATACAAGACCTAGAATTTACCACATTGGAAGGCCACAAATAGGTTGACCTTTATTTATTTATTTATAATCTTTTTGTGAAGAAATGGTTATACGTCACTTTGCTGAAACCGGCCCAAATATTTGCTGTGATTCGCAAACCAGATACTGGGGTCTTTATACCTAAGATAAAAATACTTGGGTCTACTCTCTGAATCCAAAGCCTACTAACTAGTTTAAGCATAGCCCATACAAAATTTGCTAAGAGTCAATGCATCGATCACAACACTGTTTGGAAAAATAATCTGAGGCACCTCTCATTGAACAGAAACTAAAATTTTCATTGGATCTGTATGTATGTGATACCACATGCAAATCTTAACAACTTTTACCCCAAATCTTCACACGCTTTCCTCAAGGAAGATACTCAAACTTGCACGAATTATGACCTGCAATCAAAGGAGAAAAAAGAAAGAATTATGGTATCTGTTAAATAGCAAACAAACTAATGAATAATGACTCATCAAAAGATTGATCCGAGCACAGGGTTAGGCCAATTGCTCACAGCAATGTGTTTGTCCTATTGCATCTTAATTCGAATGTTCCTCCCCATAAATTAGAATAGTTTGAAATAAAGTATTGTCGATTTAAGCAACTGAAATGAGTGCATGCTAATTAAGAGAGTTTGGAGCTCAAAGATGAAATTAGGTATGATTATTACTTGGATCAAGGGCAGTGACCAATGCAGCAGAATTGAAGTAGCAAGTTCCTCCTTGCTTCTTAAATCTTTGGTAGTAATTGTTGAAGACATAAGAGGCGTGGTCCTGCATGGTATTTGGTAAGTAGCAGTCTTGGTTTTCTTGTATCTTGCTGCAGTCGGCACCTCCCACTTCACAAGCCCACTTCATCGCCATTTGCAGATCCTCATCTGGTGTCTGCTCATCTGCTATGCACCATTCCGGATCTAGCTGCCCATCTAATTTCATTTCACAATAAATCAATTTGATTACTACTTAATTGTCAATTATTAATAGTAAACAACCAGAATTAGGATAGATGACATGTTCATCTTATATGCCAATGATATTTTCTCAACCTGTCTTGTCTTTCTTAAAGAAAAAGTTTCTCTAATATATATGAAACTACTTCTTAAGGGAATCACACTCCACTGTTCACGATAATATTACTGAACCAAATTGACAACATGTAGCCAGAATATTTCGACATTCATATAGACATCGATATTATGTTTCAACACAATATCGATAATAATTAAAGTTTATAATATGAATGACATATCGAGTATCTCGCTATATGAACAGCGAAACGAGATCTACCTTATGAAATTTCTCATACACACACATTCATGCAAGGCCAACATAAGAAAAACTTTAACAGATAATGATGAGGTTAGCTGAATATTACCAGATCTTTGTGGAGTTAGAGACAAAAATAACAGAGCTAGCAGAACATAAAGGAAAATAGAAGACATGATTATTCAACGGAAGCTGTTCTGTTCCAAGAGCTTTTAAGTCCACACTTGTAACTGGGATTTCAAAGATCTCCACCGACAACCAGGCAGCCCAGCACTATCTATATTTATGGAGAAACTTTGACACAACAATATTCTCATCTTTTAAAAAAGTTGAAGTAACATGCTATATACGTTCCTTCTCCACGAAATTAGGGATCAATCTAAGCTAAGTGTTACTTTCTCTACAATTCGTAATAAGCCCTCATCTTTTAGTTTTGAGTCGTATGCTAATTTAATCTAAACCACGACGAGAAGAATTTTAACATACGTGCAGTGCAGAAGGGGTCATATTACTTTGACAAACCCGCTCAAGCCTTTAATTCTGAGAAATTTAAGTAACACAAAACAAAAACTGAAAAAGAAGAAAATAATTGAAGGTGCGATCGATATGATGCTAGCGACTTAGTATCAGAGTAGTTTCTACAGAACTAGCGACTTGTTCTTATAGTAGTAGCTATAGTAGTAGCGACATCCCCTTGAGAAGATGGGATGAGGGACACCGATCGTATAATTTTCTATTTGTTTATTTTCTTTTATTTTCTTTTTTCATTGATTTTTTTTTCTTCATGCGTTACCTTATTTAGATTCTAATACCTTAACATTTAGGCTGCATTTGTTGCACCGGACTGCCTCAGACTGGACTAGCTTCAAGGACTAAGCTGGACTGGCTTAGACTAGACTAAGCTGGACTAGCATAGTGAAGCGTTTGGTGCAATGTCGGACTAAGAAGCAGGATAATGAAAACAGTAATGTCACCAGTTTGGTGTTTTCTCAGACTAGGACTACATTATTGTTCTATTGTAATTGCTTTTTTATTAAAGATATTATTAAAATTAATAATATTGGATGAAAGTGAGATTCAATAAAAACACAAAAAACAAAATTTCTTGCCAACGAAGGAAACATAAATGATTCAAGAGTAGCATTGGATGAACAAAATACACCCATATCCTAAGGTTGTACGATTAACAAGATCCATGGGAAAAGTTGAGAGATTTGTCGTTAGACGCAGAGAGGGATGATGCCAAGATAGAAATCTCAGTTCAAGTATAATTAGGCTAGATGAATTAGCCATATGTATATTTTCATTATATATATAGAGTTGACAGAGAGTTTGAGATGAAACCAAACTCTTCAAATTAAAACATAACAGATAACTAAGAACTAAATACATAAATTACAAAATTCATACTTCCAAGATCGTTGACTCATTCAAACTAAGTTGAAACATTCTGTTGCATGGATTGGATGAGATAAGAGAACCATTTGAATTTAGTTTCGGCATGCTTAGCTTATCAGGGAATGGAACATCGTGGATATAGGCTCAGTAGTTGGGTCCTTTTGGCTTTGCATTTGCATACTCTTTTAGCTGCATTTCATTTCACTTGGCCTGCATTTTGGGTAGCAATTGCACTCTATCTTGTCGTAGAAGTGAGTGTAAATCTCTCTTACCACAGGCAACTTTCCCACCAGAGTTTCAAGCTTCCCAAATGGCTAGTCCAACCTGATACCAAAAAGTAAGTATATGCAAAGACTAGTTCATAAGCCAAAATAAAAAAACTTGAAACTATAGCATATGCAAAGATCATTGTCTTCCTCTAGTTTTAACAGTTGCAGCAAAGAACTATGATGCAACTGAAAAACTGACATGAATGGTCTCAACTATTGCGTACTGACAAACAGAGCTTCAAGATAAAAGCCATAGCTCAAAAGACTAAATCTGAAATGAAATGCGGCTTTCCGCTTGCGTAGAGTTTCAATACTTCAAATTGAAAAGCCAACTACGAAGCTTAAAACGAAAATTACAATGACAAAGCTCAAATAGCAGTAGGACTACAAAGTGCATGCAGAATTACTGTATACTAACAGAATCAAGAAGGTTAGAACTAGACATGAGCAAGCACCCAAACCTTATTACTAATGATGCTAATCCTATATTCAACTGAAACAAGCACCACGTAGTAGATGTAGTAGAATGTGAATACCGAGCAGTATGAAGAATATGTTCTACACTGTCTAAACCCTATGAGTGAACCAGTTGTTCAGGTTCTTACTGTATTAATCATATCAATAGCATATATGATGGTTTTCATGGTGTTTGTCTATATGTAGCCTTGGGATCATATTGACAAGTAAGCCATAGATGCACTGGAGACCAATTTCTCTGAACTCGGCAAAACTACTTTAAGGAGAGGTACTAGCAAATCTGATAGCCATTTCTTGGTCACTTCTCATAGGGGTATCCTTCTCACTACATTCCAGTTAACTGTTAACCATTTTTCTTTAAAATGAATTTTTTTTTAGTTGTTTCACCCTATAAGCCCTGCCTAGTTTACTCTTACCAAATTGTTCTGGAATATGAAAGATAATGCCTAAGGCATACAAAAATTGTAGATATTTTGCTTCACTTACTGTGCCCTGCCTACTTTACCAAGTAATTTTTTCTCGCTAGACTATCAATCCGGACCTAATTCAACATCTAGAGGCACAACATGCCAAACATATGATATAACTAGAGATTATTGCTCTATAGTCTATATACAATCCTAAAACATTATAAAGCCATCAAATACTTCACTGCAATTCCCTTTTGACATACCTTAAAGACGTAACATAAACTTAGTGAAGCAAGAAATAGATAATCAATATAAACAAGCATGAATGCAAGACCAGTCATCTGTGGTACTTCATGTTACAAAACATATATGATTTTAACCGCAATGTGAAAGGCTACAAAACAGGTAAAGTCACCCATGTTTCTGAGTTCGGATTTGAAAGAAAAGTTGAAATATGAAAAAACCCCAAATTCTAATCTCAATTTGACCTAAAAATCAAACCCTAATTTGTTCAAGTGCAGAGTTCTATGATTGAAAATTTCTCAAACCCAAAACAACAAAATCAAATAAAGCTCAATAATATCACAATATGCAAACCAAATCGACGAAATAAATCGAAGATTCGAAGTTTACCAGACAACTCAGAACAGATGAGGCCGAGTAGATGCAGATAAGGGAAGACACAGAGACGAGGGCGATGAGGACGACGATGAGGGAGAAGGGTAAGGACGACGATGAGGGAAGACGTAGAGATGAGGACGAGCAGGACGAGTGACGTTGAGGGGTTCTTGGACGACTGAATCTCTCGTGGTTATCTCTGGCTTACGAGTCCGCCCAAAATTGGGGATCCTCGTTAAGAACTGCTAAGAAGGCGTATAATCCGAGCGAGTCCGTGCTAAGGTCATTAAACCTAATCCTGGTGTAGACCAAACAAGGGACTATAGTTTAGTCCAGTCCAGTCCTCCCTAATCCAGTCAAACAAACGGGCCCTTAGATTTATATCCTTCGTCCACCAGCCCGCCTCATTTTTTGTGCCTTGTTTCCATGTGTTGCCTGCCTTGTTTTGCATGCCGTCTTTTCCGTGTGCCAAGCCAGCCTTTGTATGAGCGACAGATCCCCCTCGTTTTGCATGCCTCGTTTTTCGTGAGTAGAGCCTGTCTTGCTTTATGCGTTAGAAGCCAGTCGCATTTAATGTGAGCGAAGTCCGTCTCGTTCTGCATGCTCAAAGTCCGCCACGTTTTCCGTGCATGGAGATCACCTCTATTTGCATCCACCAACCAGGACTTAAGCAATGCTAAAAGACCTTTGAATGTGATCCTAATGTTTATTAGGAGAAGAGATTTGTAGGTGTCGAACATCATGGAAATTTCCTAAATTAAGTTTATTAAACATGTGGTGCGACTAGAATGACTCAAAATTTGGGTTATATTGAATCTTGTTAAAATCCTCAAATTTCATTAGAAAACTGTGGGTTATAACTCACAGTTTTTGTGAAAAAAATTGAAATTTTAGCTTTAGAAAATATGCGTGGGAATTAACGAAAATGTTGCAATATCTTTTGAATCCTACCGCTTATTGGGTCTCAAGACTATTTTTTATTGATTATTTTTAAAGTTGAAAAAATAGAAAAATAATATAAACTGATAGTGAGGCCCCCAAAGAAATTTGTAGGTGTTGAAATTTTGAAATGTCCTGAATTAATTTTAGAAAATATGTGGTGCAACTAGAATGACTCAAACTATGGCTTGTAATGAATTTTGTAAAAGTTCACAAAATCGATTGAAAAACATGAGTTATAACTCACAGCTTTTGTGAAAAAAATTGAAATTTTTAGTTTTAGAAAATATTTTACGTTAGAGTTGAAGAAAACATTACAAGTTCTTTAGATGTGATCCTACCGTTTTGTGAACGAATGTACTCCTATTGTTGGTTATTGTTCGTTCAGTAAGGCATGCTAAAGAAATCATAATTTAATCGATTGAAGAAATAGATAGCTTATTATATAACAGAAAAAGGGATCCACAAAGCATTCAGTTCTTCATTATTCATGCTCTTCAGGTGCACCATGTACAACCTTTTCTTCTGCAACAAAAGATGGAAAAATACTTCCCAGATGCAACAAAAGATGGAAAAATAACAGAAGGAAACAGATGACTTATAGAAACCATATGACCTTTGATCTAGATAAATTTACGATGAATTTGTTTTCCATAAGTTCGTTTGGCATCACCCGATCTCCGATTTCCTTGAGCTAATCTGCTTTCTGTTTCGGACTTCTGGCAACAATCAGAACTTTTGGACAACTTCCTGGAACAAGAGTTAAATCCAAACTCCATATTGTTTTCGGATAAGCATTCATCATGTCGATATGGAGAGTCATAGCCCATCTCGTCAAATTCCTGCAAAAGATCAACCCTAATGCAAACATTTATGATTTGCAACCAACCTTGAAAAGCATGTAGGGTTTCTGAGTCATTCAAGAAACGACTAGAACCAAAGGAACACGTAATATGTAAAATGAAATATAACGTCACCTTGGACTTTGTTTTTGCATATGGGGTCAAGCAAGGATTTAAATCCTTCAGGAACATGTCATCTGGACTACCAGGGCTGGCCAGATCACCAGAGCTGAACTCCTATTTGAATGAACATATTATTATTGGAGAGCGAATAGGAAATGACATCTAAGATCAAGTCGTGATTGACAACATTGA